TTCTAAATACAAATGTTATTGTACTGACAAGACCAGTCAAGGTAATGCACAAACTTCAATGGATGTATAACGGTCAATAGTTTTGATGGAATCTCATGTAAGATAAACTTTTCAGCCCTTCAGAATCGCATGTATAAAGTCTAATCACAATCTGATCTGATACTGATATGAATTTATAATTATGTGGATTTGATAGTCTAAAAAAAGAATTCGAACTGTCAATAAGAGTCATGGCAATCGACTAAGAGATTATCTCTTTTGAATTATACAATTTCGAAATCAAGCGAATTTTTGTATAATATGAACCGGTTGTTATCGTAATACTGGCTGTATAAAAAATATCATCCTTTATGCATGATTTTCATAAAATTTGCTTTATCGATAATATTTGTTTATAAACCCGGTATTTTAATGTAAAAATACTAATATCTATATAAATAATATACAGTATGTAACATTGTAAAATTTGTTGACTATCGGTTAATTACACGTCTCGTGATTGTTCAGACCCAATTCATAAAAGTATAATGCTCTCAACTAATCTAGTAGTAATTTCATTGGTATTACAGTAGTATAAATAAAGTAAGTATTATATATTAAACGTGTAGATATAGCTGTGCAAAAAAAAATTCTATAAAGGAGATTAATATTCTCACCTTACAAGACATTTTATAAGGTAAAAAAAAATTATGAGAAGAACATCTTGTAAAACACATTCTCAGTATCTTAATACATACTGTTCAACTTGCCGACATTGGTATTGTTCAAAGTGTGGTCATAAAACCTGTGGTGGTTTTCCCGTTAAAAGAATGGGTCAAAGCACAGAAAAAAGAGTAACCGAATCGGCTCCCATGTCACTAATAGAGCAAGCAACATCATCTGCTGCTGTAACTGCCGTAACCAAACAAACAAGCGAACAATCAATAATTGAACCTCAAAAAAAAGATACTCAACCTGAAAAAATACAAAAAATAATTGGAATTTGTAAAATTCATGACCATGCTAAATTAACATGCGATAATTGCCCAGAAACTTTTTGTAAATATTGCGGTCATGAATGTAAAAGGACAAACAGAGACTCGAACTCACCAATAAGCTGTGAATATATAAGAACAGAAGAATTCTCAAAATTATTCAACAGATTCAACACAGATAATGAATGTGAAATCCTAACAAATCCACCGCCAAACGTAGATTTCTCCAAAAATAAGAAATTTAGGGAAACAATTAAAAACATTGAATCCGGAACATCAAGCAACCATTCAGTCGTCGCTGCAAGGCAAGTTCAGCAACACACAAGTAGTCAGCCAGAAAGTCAAGCAGTAAAAACAGAAGAATCAATAAGGTTTCCTGCAGAACGTAATCTCTTTTATCACTACCAATATTCACCAAGACAAATAACAGCTGGCTCAACAAATAACTTCCTTGGCATTCCTAGGAAAACAGCAACTGTCTTTCTAAATAACCATTCATTCTCAGGCAACCAGCCACTACAAGTCATTGACGTTAGGCCAGAGAGTCAAGAAGAATTAAGTGATTCAACATGGTTGCACTGTAATTTCTCACCAAGACTAATAACTACCGGCTCGGCAAGTAAACTGCCAGAACAAAATTTTCGTTCTCCTATTGGATCCTCAAGTAACTAGCCACCTTTAAGAGAGGAGCCACAGTCATTCACCACTGCGGAAGAATCGAGCGATTCAACATGGTTACCAGTTGGTTCATCAGAACAAA